GCCGGGCCCAGCCCGCGGGGAGGAGGAGGAGGAGGAGGAGGAGGAGGAGGAGGAAGGAGGCAGCTGGCGGGAGACAAAGAGCCGGCGATGGAGAAACAAAGAGGGACGGAGGGAGCGAGGCCCCAGACAAAGAGAAATGAGGCGGCAGGAGGAGCCTGGGCGCGAAGGCTCCAACCATCCTCAGCCTCAGCCTCCTCAGCCTCATCCTCAGCCTCATCCTCAGCTTCAGCTTCATCCTAAGGCCTCAGCCTCAGCCTCAGCTTCGGCCTCAGCCTCAGCCTCAGCCTCAGCTTCGGCCTCAGCTTTGGCCTCAGCCTCATCCTCAGCCTCATCCTCAGCCTCATCCTCAGCCTCATCCTCAGCTTCGGCCTCAGCCTCATCCTCAGTCTCAGCTTCGGCCTCGGCCTCAGCCTCATCCTCAGCCTCAGCCTCATCCTCGGCTTCAGCCTCATCCTCAGCTTCGGCCTCAGCCTCAGGCGGCTCGCCCGGGTGAATCCCCCGGGAAGGGGCAGAGCGGGGGCAGCCCCCCCCGACCCCCAGCTCAGCCTGAATTTTCGTTTCCTTTCCCCCCAGCACCAGGTTTTTAAAGGTCCGAATAAATTTTTATATCTGATTTTTTTCATCTCTGAACTTGTAATTGTGAATATTTTAATATCTCAATATATTTATATCGGAATATTTTTATATCTTAATATTTTCATATATTATTTTTAGCTGAAATCTTAATATTTGCCTTTGTAACTATCTGAATACACTGATACCTGAATTTTTAAACATCTGAATATTTTTAGATCTGAATTTTTTTGTAGCTGAATATTTTATAGCTGCATATTTTTCTATCAAAATATTTTTCTATCCTTCTATTTCTATTTCTATTTCTATTTCTATTTCTATTTCTATTTCTATTTCTATTTCTATTTCTATTTCTATTTCTATTTCTATTTCTATTTCTATTTCTATTTCTATTTCTATTTCTATTTCTATTTCTATTTCTATTTCTATTTCTATTTCTATTTCTATTTCTATTTCTATTTCTATTTCTATTTCTATTTCTATTTCTATTTCTATTTCTATTTCTATTTCTATTTCTATTTCTATTTCTATTTCTATTTCTATTTCTATTTCTATTTCTATTTCTATTTCTATTTCTATTTCTATTTCTATTTCTATTTCTATTTCTATTTCTATTTCTATTTCTATTTCTATTTCTATTTCTATTTCTATTTCTATTTCTATTTCTATTTCTATTTCTATTTCTATTTCTATTTCTATTTCTATTTCTATTTCTATTTCTATTTCTATTTCTATTTCTATTTCTATTTCTATTTCTATTTCTATTTCTATTTCTATTTCTATTTCTATTTCTATTTCTATTTCTATTTCTATTTCTATTTCTATTTCTATTTCTATTTCTATTTCTATTTCTATTTCTATTTCTATTTCTATTTCTATTTCTATTTCTATTTCTATTTCTATTTCTATTTCTATTTCTATTTCTATTTCTATTTCTATTTCTATTTCTATTTCTATTTCTATTTCTATTTCTATTTCTATTTCTATTTCTATTTCTATTTCTATTTCTATTTCTATTTCTATTTCTATTTCTATTTCTATTTCTATTTCTATTTCTATTTCTATTTCTATTTCTATTTCTATTTCTATTTCTATTTCTATTTCTATTTCTATTTCTATTTCTATTTCTATTTCTATTTCTATTTCTATTTCTATTTCTATTTCTATTTCTATTTCTATTTCTATTTCTATTTCTATTTCTATTTCTATTTCTATTTCTATTTCTATTTCTATTTCTATTTCTATTTCTATTTCTATTTCTATTTCTATTTCTATTTCTATTTCTATTTCTATTTCTATTTCTATTTCTATTTCTATTTCTATTTCTATTTCTATTTCTATTTCTATTTCTATTTCTATTTCTATTTCTATTTCTATTTCTATTTCTATTTCTATTTCTATTTCTATTTCTATTTCTATTTCTATTTCTATTTCTATTTCTATTTCTATTTCTATTTCTATTTCTGTTTCTGTTTCTGTTTCTGTTTCTATTTCTATTTCTATTTCTATTTCTATTAATTTCTATTTCTATTTCTATTTCATTTCCACTCCTAGGTCTAGATCTAGGTCTAGATCTTATTACCATTACTATATCTAACCCTAACCCTAACCCATCCCCTCCTGCGTCCCTTAGCATCAAGCGCCAGCTCCTGGAGTCATGGGATTTCCCGTTTTTCTCACCTCATTTCCAGCCCTATAAAGCGAACTCTTTTTGGGGGTTAAAAATGATGGGGTTTTCCCTCCCTTGGTGGTGTAAGGGGTTTAGCACCTACAGATCCATAGGAGCCACATCTGCAGGGACGTCCCTGTGTGCATCTGTGGGGGTGAGACTATAGATCTGGCTATAAGCACCCACTATACCGATCTCTGTGCGTCAGAGAGCAGCAGGACAGTATATGGTCTATACGCAAGGCCCTTACCCAGCTCTGTGCATCACTAGCTGTAGAAGTGTATGTATCCATATATCTGTGCATATATACATCTGCACCCCATGGCTCCGGCTCTGCACACATCATTGTAGGACCAGGGCTGTACACATGCCTATATGTGCCCCACGGACTCTGCCCTACGTATGTCGTTATAACCACAGGATTGTACAGCTCTACAGGGAGGGGACTGTAGGTACTTCTGTATGCACCCCATAGGTCCTGCTCCGTGGCTATAGGAGCAGTAGGGCCCTATAGGTGCCTGTGCAGTGCTGGCACCCTGCTGCCTGTCCCTCTATAGGTGTCTATAGGTGCTGACAGGGGCTGGAGGGGTTGCCTGGGCTGGGGGGGCTCGGCCCGGTGCCGCGGGGGCTCAGCCCGGGGGGGGACGACCCCGGGGGGCTT